TTTTCTGCGCTGCACACACATCTGATGTAGCCTCAGTATTTGACCACGTCCGAAACCGATACCCAGACGCACCAATGGTGGCAGTGGGCATATCTCTTGGGGCGTAAGTTGCGATCGGCTTCTTTTCCTTAACACCCTCTATTACTTTTCATGCAATGGCTTATTGTTTTAGTCTGACTGTCGGTTGTAGTTGTGTAGTAAGCTCGGCGGTAATATTTACCATTGTCATGCTTTACAAATGCGTTTTTTTATTGTCACCGTAGATGGCCTTTCTGGATTCGTTGGTTATTTTCTGAAAAGTCTTTGCGAATCCCATATCTTTCACATCATTAGGATACGAATTTTTGTGCGACTTTGGTAGGGCTAAACCATCCTTTGCAAATAGTGCGGTGCATATGCGTGCCGAAGCAGCTGTAATGTAACTCTGCAGAAGGGTAGAAGTCAAATGATTATTGAAGGGTCGCAATGACCCCTACTCTTCCTCCCAAACTGTCAACCTTGTTGGAAGTATTGCTTTTCCAAAAGTTAGTCCTAACGACCTCTATTTTTCACAGTCGTTTTCTTACCAACCATGTGGAGGTTGTATCAGCGTGAGGTGGGTAATGTCACCCGACAAAATGTGTGAGGCGGTGTCTTTCTCCCATCATTCTGCATGGGATGTTGCGTTGCTTTGCATTGGTTTGTAAGAAAAGGACTTCATTTCACCCGACTGACTAGTCCAAGCAGGTTATGATGGAGGTCCAGTCGCACTGATCAGAATCAGCTAGTATTTTGGGGTATGTAGTAGGGTCCGAAATACGAGGAACGTGCTCGAGATTGCCCTGTATTGCCTGCATATCGGCACATTTGTCTGCGTTTCACAACTCTCTCTAGGTTGCAGTAAGTATTTGCGATTACCCGGTGCTCAAAAAGAACCCAATGCAGGGTTGAATTGCCGCATCATGGACGCAGTCAGATAAGGCTGGCATGCCATTAGTGTAGAAAGTTTTTGTATTTAGGGAAAACGAGGAAGTTAATTCCCAGCTTTGTATTCTCACTCGTTTTCCTTGCTCCAATGCCTTTTGAGTCACTTATATTTATTCAGTGACACATTAAGGTCCAATTTGAGCTTTTTTATTCTGACTTCCCCTTCATGTCTATGCAACGAATTACTATCACACATGCACATAAACGCAATTCCCATTTTCAGTCTCCTTATCTTCAACTACCTGGCAGACGAACCTCAAGATCGTAACAAGCCCTGTCCTCTAACTGCTGCGATGTGCGTTTGCATGCCATGGGATTTGCTGCAGACGTCTGACAAGTTGGAAAAGTCGTTGGACTGGTTCCTTTTCAACAAGCCTCTCATTCGTGGCCTACGTCGGTTGGTCATGCGAAATGCCGACGTGCTGTCGACGAAGTACGATGTTCCACGCATTCTGAAGGTACGTCGTTGATTACATTGTAAGTAGTCCAAATTCTTTGAGTAGTGCATTATGACATTTTAAGAAACCGGTTGTTGAATGTACGTAACGTGCGTCTTTAAGCCACGAAATATTGTTTATGAGCTGGGAGAGAAATTCGACTAATTTGTAGCAGTTTCATGAATATCAAGTCTTTAGTATCGTCGATGTAAAGAACATAAAAGGGACGGCACCTCTTTAAAATAGCGTTAAAATCAAGATTGATTGGTTGATATTAGCTCTTGACCATGTATCCAAAACCGTACGAGCGGGTTTCGGTCTAGCTTTAAGGTGCATTTATTTAAAAAGAA